AAAATTTAAGGGGTAGTTATATAATAATTTTGGACGATCTCGGGCGGTCGGATACTTATGACCGCTACTGTATAAACTCTGACTTTGCAATTTGGAGGGGCAGTCAGGAGTGCTGTGAAAAGAGCTGCAAATTCAAATATTGATGATGATGAAAAGCTGGAGGTCAAAGCGGTGCTGAAAGAAACCATAGGCAAATTTTGGTGGAATTGTAACCAAGCAAGCCCCATTTTGATTGAAGGAAGACCGACGTCTGTAAGAGATCCGTCAGTGTAAAATTCTAACTCAGAAGCAAAAACAAAATTAGAAGAAAGTGTTAGTAGTTCTTTTTTGTGAGGAGAAGGGATAAATCTATCTATACAAGAGCTATATGTAGGAGGAGGCACAAAGGTGGTACATTTAAGATATGGGGCTGAAGAGACGCAACTACATAAGTCAGAGCTAGTTTATTTAGAGCACTAACAGATAGCGCTGTTGAACTGGAACTATCATAATAAATGTTGTAAAATGCTGCACAGTATATACGAGGGATATTGACTTAGCAGTATTATCTGTTTGTTGAAGGTATATTTTGATTGTGCAGAGAACAGCGGGGCATAGGATTAGTTTGGTACTATAATCGGTTGCTTTTTCAAAATTATAATGTCTGAAATGCAAATTATTTAGGTCAGCATGGGTGATGCGGCCAATGACAAAACTGTTGAGATTGAAAATTCAACCCACAGCGTACGATCTGTATCTAGGGTAAGATGTTGTTGCTTTAGTGTGTAGCTATACATTAGGTTGTGCAGGAATGTTCTGGTGATGAATCTATCTTGAGATGGTTGTAAATACTGTTCCATGATAGTAAACCATTTGGGGATTCTAACAAACCTTGTTTGTTGGTGCGTAATGTGAATAAGGTCTTTGTAAGAGAACATGTAGTTACCGACACAATTGACTAGTTGTTCAGCATAAAGAACTGAACATTTTCTAAGATCCAGGATATGATTTCTGTAGATAGGCGTGATGAGGTCTGAAATCAGGGTGGTACCTCCAGATACCAGATTATTCGAGCTTAACAAAACGCTAAGGTTAATGTTCATTTTGTTTAAGGTATTAAGTAGAGCCGAGAGCCAGTCATCTTTAGACCTCTGAGTATTGTATAGCCAACATACTAAGGGATTGATGTGCAACCATTCCCAGGTTTGCAGTTGTCTGACACATATTCTGAAAGTGAGGCCTAACAAGTTGGATTCATTGGCCATCTGCAGAAGAGCACTGCTAAGATTTTGAATAAGTCTCTGGTGAAGGGGGGTAGTATTGTAAAAATAGTGTGATAGGAATAGCGAGGACGGCGTTTTCTGTAAAAGGTGCAATTTGGAGCAGAGGAAAGCTACATATTCTGGGCAATATGTCGAAATACTTGAGTGCATTTGTCAGGTTGTGTTGGCAGTCTATATCAGCATTGAAATCCCTAACAAGATCACATGATAATCTAATGATGAAGCTTCTTTGATCCATTTCGTGAGTATATGTTAGACTTCTTGTCTGGTTTTCAAATCTGCAGGTGGTAAGTAACAGTTAATGATACGTAATTTTTGTTTGTTGGCAAATTGTAAATCCACGTAAATCAATCGATCAAGCTTTGTATCGTGTTTAAAAACATGATA